GCGGGGCTTGGCGGCATGGGCTGGTTTGGGAGGAGGTACACGAGGCTGCGGCCGAGTGTGCTGAGCACTGAGGTGCTGGGGCCGGGTTCTGAGGTGCTAGGGCCCGGTTCAGAGGTGTGAGTGTAGGCGGTGGAGGCGGAGGGAAAGGCTCAGTTACCTGCAGGAGTTGTATTGGCGGAACACACCTGCCTCTTCTTGAAGGCTGGCTCAACGACTTTAATTTGCATCGCCGGTGTCTAACACAGAACTTGTAGGAGTCTCTAGTGAATGAGTGGGGTGGATTTACAAGTCAAGGAGGAGGGATGTGTTATTCTGGCCTACTGGGGAAGAGGGTAGCGGAGCGACCTTTCTGAAGTCCTGGACAACCTTAGCTTCCAGCACCTCCCCATGCACCTGAGCCTCCTTCACCCCTCCCCCCTTGAGTGTGCTAGAACCCATTGATAAAACTCTGCTTGTTTGCTTCCCAGGAACTGTTTGTGGAGACCATTGCAAAAGATGCCTACTGCTGTGCTCAACAAGGAAAGAGGAAAACCCTCCAGAGGAGAGATTTAGGTAGAGCGGCACTGTCGTATCTGTGGGCCGACCAGGGCGGGCTGGGCTAGGCTTCCCCTTTCACTGCTTGAGAGGGCGTCGTGGTGGTGTGAGAGGTACCACAGGGTCACTCCCTAGGATGTTTTCTGTTTGCCTGCCAGAAAGCTCTTCCTTTAGAGTCTGTGTTTGGGTGGCTGGGGTGGTAGGGCAGAGTATGAAGGATATCTGGGAGTAGCCAAATATGACTGGACTCCTTCATACTTTTGCCATATTGTATCAGAAAAAGACGTTTCTTTTTCACCTAGCAACTGGGGGTTTAATTTCTGACTCTTTGTCTAGCTTGTAAGCCCTCAACATGAATAAGGTTTCATATACCATATTCTCACACTCCCTGCTATATTGCCAAATTCTTCTCTGATGATTTTCAGAGAAAAGAGAATAAATTTGGGTGTAAACAGGGTTGTAGGAGGGTTCCATTCTCTCCCCACCCCATCACCCTCATTGAAGAGTATTTGCCTGGACTTTTCTTATTCTTGTAGAGAGAGCGAGAATATGGAAGAATTGGTAGTGTAGCAGAAATGGATTTCAGGAAGTCAAGGGACAAATTTGATAAATTCCCTCATTTGCAAAATGAGCCTTCTGTCCTTCACTGTGTGGATTGTATTGTTTTGGGGTTGATGTTCAAATGACTGGAGTTAGTCGGGTTTCCCTTTACTTTGTGTTTCAGATAATGCAATAGAAGCTGTGGATGAATTTGCTTTTCTGGAAGGTGAGTTCTCTATCAGTGGGCAGTCATTTCCACCAGTCTTATCCATGCTAATCATGTGAATTCAAAACCTTCAAAAATGGATGTCTGGTTCTTTTTTTGTGTAGGGATAATTCTTTCTTCCTACTTGCTATTAGGATAGGAAAAGCTAACTTGCTAGATCTAGTGAGATTCCATTAACTCCCTTGAGGAAAACCTGAAATTGCTAACCATAAAGAAATGGGAGGAAGTATAAAGACCCCAGAGGAGTTAAATGGATTCAAAAGTTTGATTCCTATTTTGGTCCCCATCCGTAGATATAAATCTTGCTCCCTCCTACACAGTTTTGGAAGTTGGGAAGTCCAGAGTCCCAGGAACACATCTGGTGAGAGTCTTCTTTGGTGGTGGCTTTACAGCAATGTTGGGGTCTCACGTGGCAGAAAATGGAGACTAACCTCTCACGTGCTTTTAAAGCCCTCAGAACCATGCCTCTGAACACCATTATTAATCCATTCACTATGGCTGGTTTAACAATCTAATCACCTCTTCAAGGCCCCACCTTTCAATTACCATAATAGAATTTCCTACCTTCAACAGTTACAGTGGGGATTTGAGTTTTGGGGGAGACATTCAACCCAAGGCACCCCCTTATCATAATATTAAAGATCAGAAACAATTGCTAACCTTTAAAGGGTCACCTCTTGTTCCTTTTTCTTCTTCAGCAATATGTGTAGAGTGATTATTTTGCTGCAGTGAGATTTTGTACTTGCCTGTATCTATTTGTTCTTAGGATTAATGGATTAACTTGTGTACTAACAAGATCTTGTCTTTGAAATAGCACGTTTTTGAAATACTTCATTTTAGCTACCTTCTCTCAGAGCTATTTCTGCTACTTAATTCCTTAATCTGATGAGTTTACTCTTTTCTATATATGCCGGTGTTTTGATTGACTAGCTTTGTGAAAGCCATGTGCCCTCAATTCATTCTCACCTTTACCCTACCAGGGTCTTCTCATTACCTCCTTCAAGCCTCATTATCTTCAGAAATCTTTTCTTATTTATTTCTCTTTTTACTCTTCTGTTCTACATTGCCATATCAACCTAGGCCTCTGACCCATTTGACATATACATTTTTAAATGTCTTATTAGATACGTTTTCAGGGCCAGCCTTGAGCTTTAATTTGTAGATCTTTCTTCAGCCTCTCTTTCCACCTACTCATTTTTCTTAAAAAATAATTTTTTGTTAGTTGCCTACCTAAGGCAGGCAACTTCTTGCGACTGACTTTGTGTAAGTTTTCCGATCAAAAATGTTTGGAGCCTACTTTACCTGTTCATTTTTAATTACTAGCTTTGCAAAGAGATGAATGATATAGTTGAATTTGTATTTTGAAGACATAACACTGTCGTTCTATGGATAATAAATTGTACGGTACCAGGAACAGAAGTGGAGAGATCTAATGCAATTTTCCACTCTAGCCTCTAGCATGGCATAGTGCTTAACTTTAACTTTAATAAATAGCCATTTATTGAATGGTCGATGTGTTCATTTTCATCCTCTTCTGCAATAATCTCAGTAATTGAATCCCTCTGCTTTATTCTACATTGATCTGAATTTTGGCCATGGTAGCCTCTGTGGATTTAGTCTGTATTATACCTGGTAAAATAAATGTTCCTATGTCTTTAGACATGTATGTTCTGAGTGGATAATTAACTTTTTTTTCCTTTTTTAAAGTAAGGCAATATATATTCATGCTTAAAAAGCAAATAATTACCTACTGGCTTGTAAAGAAGTGCAGCTGCTGTTCAACCACTGTTTTTTTTTTTTTTTGTTTTGTTTTTAGCTTTTCAGGTGATTACTTATATTTCCAAATAATGTGTTTAGACCTTGATTTAATCAACTGTAGACATTATGTATTATACTAACCCATAAATTCTCTCCCTCTTTTCTGATTTCTGGTAGTTGTAGCACTAGTTGTAGTTTCTTTGTTACCTTTACAGTTTATATAACATTAAAATATCTATTTTTTCGTTATACCCAACTTTCAACGTATTTCTTTATTTCCCACTTTGTAAGGTATGACTGTTAGTGCACCTAATCACTTTCCCCATTTTAGCCCATGTCTGGCTCTCAGTTTGTGTCATCTATACCAGTACTTTGACATTGTCAAGGCTGATAACATTTGTATCTTATCACAATTAATCTTTCATGCATTTTGTGTGGGTTGAGTATAGAAGTTGAAAACCTGTACTGTGAAGTCTTCCTCTACCCTCTGTCCCTTAATCCCTCATTCAGGTCCCCTCCGTGCAGACATCTGTTGTTATAGTTTCTGGTGTAAATCTGTATATTTTTAAATCTTGTGAAATATGATACATAGGACAAATGTAAAGTCAATAAATAACGAAATGAATACCCTTGTAACTTCCAAGTAGGCCAGTTATTGTCGGCCCCTGGAAGTCCCACATATATTCCTTCTTCATCATATCTCTTCTCACTCCCTTTCCTGACATAACTGTATCCTGACTTTTTTTTTTGTTATTTCCTTGCTTTTCTTTATAGTTTACCACATAAATCTGCATCCCTATATACTAGAGTTTAGCTGTTTTTTTTTTAAACTTTCTACAAATGGAACCAAATCATATGTATTCACTGGTTAGCATCTGACTCTCAGCTGTGTTCTTTATCTTTTTCTGTTTTTTTCTTGCCATATTGTACTGGCTAGAATCTCTAGTACATTTTTTTTTTTTTAAGACTGCAGCTTGTTTATTAAATCATAGTGAAAAATAGGTATCTCTAGGGCTCCTGGAGGCAGGGGCTGAGGGGCTTTAAGGGCATTCTCACTCTTCTTAGCTGTGCTTTCTTTTCCAGTACAATGCTGAATAGAAGTGGTGATAGCAGGCATCTTTTGATTTCAAAGGGAAAGCTTTCAGTGTTTCCCCAGTAATTATACTTACTGTAGGTTATTTGTAGATTAATTTTTATCAGATTATGAATGCTGCATCCTTGTTTGTAAGAGATGGGCATATTTTTTTCATATTGTATGTGAGTCTCATACAATTTGTTGGGAAGTGTACTTTTTTTTTTTATCTTATCTGTTCTCTGGAAAACATTTTGTAAGATTAGAATGATTTCTTTCAGTGTTTGGAATTCACCAGTGAAACTGTCAGTGGAATTTGCCACTGAAGCCATCTGGGCCTGGAAATTTTTTTTTTTGTGGGAAGATTTTTGATTACTGATTCAATTGTTTGGTTTTAGGACCATTCTCATTTCCTTTATTTTCTTGAGACAGTTTCCCTCCCCTCCCCACGAGGGGTTATAGTTTTTCTAGGAATTTTTATATTTCATCTGCACATTCAAATTTATTGGCATAAAGTTATTCACAGTATTCTCTTATCTTTGTAGTGTATATAATATGTTTATTGATATCTCCTTTTTTATTCTTGGTATTAGAGCTTCTTCTCTTTTTCCTTGATCACTTTCACTGGATGTTTATCAACTTTCTTAGTCATTTCTAAATTCCTGAACTGAATTTTTAGTTTATTAATTTTTAGGTTTTGTTTTTCTCTCTCATGCACATTTTAAGTTATAAATTTCCCACTAGGTACTGCTTTAGCTGTATTTCACAAGTTCAATAGGTAGTATATTCATTATCATTTGGTTTGAAATATTTTCTAATTGCTGTTTTTTTGCCTGTGGATTATTTATATGAATATTTCTTAATTTCCCAAAAGATGGGAACTTTTTAGTTGTCTTTTTGATAATTTTGTTGTGTTTAGAAAATGTTCCCTATTATTTCTGTCCTCTGGAATATTTGAAACTTGCTTTATGGCCCAGTGTATGGTCAACCTTGTGAATATTCTGTGTGTGCTTGAAGAAAGAGTGCATTCTGTAGTTTGGTGCAGTGTAAAGTTTGGTTATTACATAGTTCAGATTTTCTGTATTATTGAATTTCTTTTGTCTGCTTATTTCATTAGCTACTGAGACTTGTGTTTTAAAGTCTCTTGCGGTGATTGTGGACTATTTCTGTTCATATTTCTTTTTTCTTTTTCTTTTTTTTTTTTTTTTTTGCACTCTAACCAACTGATCTAACTGGCCAGCCCAATCACTGATCTTTTTTCTAGCCCCCCACCATTACCTCAGACATTTATCAATTTCTGTTCATATTTCTGGGTCTGTTTTTTCATTAAATATTATGAGACCATGTAATTAGGTATATACAAATTCAGAATTATTATATATTGTCGGTGACTGAGACTTTTATATTTATAAATTGACCATTGTTATTTCTAGTAGTGCTTTTTGCCTTAAAGTCTATTTTGTCTAATATTGTTAAAGCTTACCAGCTTTCTTGTTAGTACTTGCATAGTATGTGTGTTTTTTATCTTCTTATTTTTACTTTTCCTTTTCTTTGTAAACAGGATGTAATTGGATTATTTTCTTAAAAATTCTGACTGAAAGTCTTTGTCTTTAACTGGAGCATTTAGTCCATTTATGTTTAATGTACTTAATGATATTTGTGGGTTTAAATCCATTGTCTTATTTTGTTCTGCTTTCTATTTGTCCTGCCTGTGTTATGTTTTTTTTTTTTTTTCTCTCCATTTTTTGCCTTCTTTTATTCTTTTATTCCATTTTTTTCCCTCTATCAGTTTGGAAGTTATATACTCCATTTCTATTCTTTTAGTGGTTACTATATCAATTACTGCATTAATCTTCATCAAAGCCTAATGTTAGTACCGTTCTCTTCATTCTCAACCAAGTGGGATCTGAGAATCCAAGAACTCCATTTTAAAGTTTCTCATCCCCCAAGTTACGTGCTATTGTCATGTATTCTTGTTCTTGTCATCCGCATAAAGCATTATTATTGCTGTATTATACAATTAATGACATATGGATTTATCCACGTTAACTACTATCTTTGCTTGCACTTTTCTGTATTCCTGATCCTCCACTTGTGATCATTTTCTTTCTTTCTGAAGTAAATCCTTTGGAATTTCCTTTAATATGATCTGGTAGCTGACGCTCTGCTTTCTTCCTTTTTTTTTTTGGTGTGAAAATGTCTTTATTTTACTTTCATCGTTTGCTGAATATAGAATTCTAGGTGGAAAGTTATTTTCTTTTAGGACATTGAAGGTATTATTATACTGTTTTTTTTGGCTTCCATTGTTTCTGTTGAGAAATCACTTGCTAGTCTGTCATTCTTTTAAAGCTAATTTGTCCATATTTTTTATGTCTGCTTTTAAGATTTTCTCTTTGCCTTTGATTTTCTGTGGTTTCACTGTGATTCATAGAGGTGTGGATTTCTTTTTATGTAGTCTGCTTGGGCTTCTTGAATCTGTGGACTGATGTCTTTTGTCTGTCCTGGAAAATTCTCAGCCAATTCTGATCTTCAGGTATTGGCCCTGTTTGGTTCTTTCTCTCTCCTCTTTCTCTGGGATTCTCATTAAACGTATGTAAAAAATTCAACCATAATTTTGCCACAGCATGATGCATTCTGTGTAATTTTTTGTGATCTTCCAGTTTATTCTTTCTTCAGTTGTCTCATCTCCTTTAAACGTATTTGTTGATTTCTTAAGTTCAGTTTTTGTATTTTTCAGTACTGTGGGTTCCATTTGTTTCTTCTTTAGATCTCTTTTGTCACTTTTTATTGTTTGTATTTTCTGCAGGTATTTTGAAACTTGTCTTATTTCTTTAAACATAGTAAACACAATTGTTTTATAGTCTGTCTAATCTAATATTAAATTTAATATTCAAAGCCTTTTGAGGCTTTTGTTTTATAGCCTATGAAGCTGTAAACTGTGGTTTTGTGTTTAATATTCAAAGTCTTTTGAGGCTGTCTTTTTGTCTGTTGTTTCTGTTGGTATTGTCTCATGGTCTTTTTTTCCCCCTTACATGTCTAGTTATCTTTATATTCTGGTCATTGTACTTGAAATAATTATTGGTTGGATCATTTGAGGCGTCTATGGTAATACCTTTCTCCAAAGATTTTCACTTGTGCCTGCAAGTCACCTTGGGGCATTATCAGTGTAGGACCACCTTAATGCAAATCCAAGATTTGAAGATTTCCTGGACCACCTTGGTGATATGAATTCCGGCTGCAGGTTTATGAGGCTGCTGATTTAATTTCAGTTCACCCTTATTCTGAGGGTGTAGACTTTTGGGACTTTAGCTTAAAAAAGGGGGGTTATCAGACCTCCCTACTGAGGCAGATTCTGGGATTTGATCCTTGGTTCCCTCAGCCTGCCAGAGTCACAGCTGTTTCTCAGCTGTATCTTTCAGATTGGCAGATATCCTCAGGACAAAAGTAGCTTTGGAGGCTGGTTTCACTTTGCATTCTTGCCTTATCTACATTTTAGATTTGCTTTTTATTGGTGTCTTGATGCCTCTTCAGTGACTGAAAGATTTCCTTTTTATGTATTTAGCTTTATCAGTTGGTCTCACCAGGAACATGCCATTATTAAAAGGAGAAGCTAATTTTTCAGTTTTTTAATTAGAAGCATTTTTTGCCTTGTTTTGTTTTTCTTAAGTGTTCTTTTCCCTGAGTTATGTTTTATTCTAGATTTTTTTTTTTTAAATAAATTTTGGTCTCTCCGTTCACTGTGTAGGTTTTCTCCAAATACCCACTGATTTTCATTGTGTTTAAGAATGAGGGAATAAGAAGGCTATTTGGAAGCTGTGTGTGTGTGTGTGGGGGGGGAGGCTTTACTTTAGGGTGAATGGGGATAGAACAGGGATTTACCTTAGAGTGAACAGGGTAAAACCATGTGTTATGTTGGGGGCTCCTAAAGGCTAGAATGCTGAGGCTTTACTTTGGGAAGCTGGTATTTTCAGAAGCTGCTCTAGTTCTTTCTGGATAGTCCATTTGGTTCTGTAGAAGAGAGCCCTGTGATTTTTTTTTTCCCCAAGTTAGGTTTAAATCCCTGTCTTCTCATTGTGCTGCATATAGAGAGGGTGGTGGGGAGATGGGGGCAACTGTTTCTCATATAGACCCATGGGTCGTTAACCCTTTTTTGACTCACATCTCTTTCTGTCATTCCTGGTGACAGTCTGGAACCTCCCATGGCTCTCCTAGGCAGATGGGCTCCCTCTGCTGCAGCCCCCTCTGTGTTCATCTAGGCTCATTTTTTTCTGCTTTGTCTGTAACATTCTTCAGTCAGATTTCTCTTATTTAGTTTTTTGTTGAAATCTCTTAGCTACTGATGGGCTCCTGTTCTTTGTTGTAGATTTATACCTTCATAAAAATTTTTTCCTTCTGAATGGAATCTTGGATAGGAGGGCATACAAACTTGTGTGCTCAGTCTTCCATCTGGAACTGGAATTCTCTAAGCTCTTCGCTTAAGAGAACTTACCTCATTTATTTGGTATCACTCTCCTCTTATATGGTCTCTATGAGTGCTCATTAACTAACACAATGACTTCATAGCCCTTTTCCCACCTCTGATTCTAACTCTTCAAACTACTGTGCATAATTCCCAGCTGCCCTCCCTCTGTAATTACATGTCTTTCCCTGGGAATCTTTTGGATAGACATTCCTCACAATTAGTATTTTGAAAGGACTGCTGTCAGTACCAAAGCCCCTTCCATTTTAACTTTGCCCTGTTTGTTAAACTAATCCTGCTTTTGAGGCACCTGGCCTTATGTGTTGCTCTTTATATTTGTAGGTACTTTGGATTGATGGCTGAGCTGGATAGTTTTGTGAGCCTTCACCTGTATCCTTCAGTTCACCCCTCTTCACACGCCTCAGCTTTGAAGAAGAGTTTTTGCACTCATATACACTCTTCCTGTTCTACCTTCACTTAAGCTGGGATAAGCAGTGATCTCATCTCTTAGCTTTTCACTACAAGGTCTTCCACTACTTCTGTCTGTCTTCCACTTAAGGCCTGGGTGCAGCAGCTGCTGCTTGGGGCAGAGATGAAGAAAGTGTTCTGTATAGGTAGCTTAATGAATGACGAGGACCAGAATAAAGGTGTTTGATCAACTTCAGTCTAGTGTGTTTTATAATATTGCTTTTGTTCCTGCCAGAACAAAAAGACTGGAGAGCCACCATGCCCAGTCATAGACCTTCCTGATCTTCTCTGCCAGCCATTCTAAACCACAGTCCTTTTATTAATTTTGTTCATTTTTTCAGTACATTAACAGAATGTAGTTCCAGAACTTACAGAATACCACTTGTCCTCAGAGTTCAGATAAATGTGGTCCTGGATGGAAAATCAGTTAGAAAATTTTTAAACAGTTTTATTAAGATATAACTCACATACTATACAATTCACCATTTAAAGTGTACAATTCAGTGTTTTTTAGTACATTCAGTATATTTTTAGTTACAGGTATGTGCAGCAATCACCACAGTCGATTTTAGAACATTTTCCAATGAATGGAATCGTATAATATGTGGTTGTATTAGTCCGTTTATGTTGCTTATAACAAAATACTTGGAACTAGGTAATGTACAAAGAAAATGACATTTATTGTTTACAGTTTCTGAGGCTGGGAAGTCCAGAGTCCATCTAGTGGTGGCAACAGTGACTTGTGTCTCACATTGCAAGATGGTGGAAGCAGAGAGAGCAGAGATAGAGAGACAGACTCTCCTTTTAAAGCTCTCAGAACGACGCCCCTGACCACCATTTTTAATCCATTCACTACTGTGTGGTCCTTATAATCCAAACACCTCTTCAAGGCTCCACCTTTCAATTAGCATAATAGGATTTCCCACCCTCTTAACAGTCACAGTGGGGGCTAAGTTTCTAATACATAAAACTTGGGAGACAATTCAATCCTCAGTGAATTTTGGGGGGACATAATTCAATCCACTACAGTGGTCTTTTGTGTCTGGCTTTTTTTCACTTAGGTAATGTTTTTAAGGTTTATCCATGCTATCTCATGTATCAGTTCCTCACTTAAGATTTTTTTTGGAAAATATATATAATATAGAATTTACTATTTTAATCATTTTTAAGTCACTAAGCCTTTTAGCCATCCACTACAGTGGTCTTTTGTGTCTGGCTTTTTTTCACTTAGGTAATGTTTTTAAGGTTTATCCATGCTATCTCATGTATCAGTTCCTCACTTAAAATTTTTTTTGGTAAAATATATATAATATAGAATTTACTATTTTAATCATTTTTAAGTCACTAAGCCTTTTAGCCACTAGTTGGTTAAATGGTTAACCATTTTTCAGTGGCATTAAGTATATTCACGTTATTATGAAACTGTCACCATCCTCCATCTCTAGAAGTTTTTTGATCTTCCCAAATTCCATACCTATTAATAACTTCTCATCCCTTTTCCCCCCAGCGTCTTGCTAAATTTTGGTTTTTGAAGGAAGGTGTGGGTGACATAGCAGGAAGAAGGCAGATTACTTAGGCAAGTAGTGGTTAAGGAAAGCAGCAGGAAGCCTTAGGCAGTGGTTCTTAAGTATATTTGGATCATGGACCACTTTGAAGAGAGAAAGTCCACGGGATCTCTCTAGGATGATGCACAGATGCTCAATCTTATAACATTTTAAAAATAAACTTTATCTTGAATAATACTAGATTTATGGAAAAGTTCCAAAGGTAGTACAGAGAGTTCTTGTGTACTCCTTACCTCATTCCCCCATTGTTGACAACATTAGCAGGTACATTTGTCAAAACTGAGAAATTGATAGGTTGCTATTAACAAAACTTGTCTTTATTTGAACATTACCAGTTTTCCCATTAATACCTTTTTTCTGTTTCAAGGTTCAATCAAGGATACTACATTGCATTTACTTGTCAGGTATCCCAGTCTCCTCTGGTCTGTTAAAAGTTTCTCAGTCTCTTCTTGTTTTTATGAGCTTGACAGCCTTGAGCAATACTGACCAGGTATGCTGTAGAATGTACCTGAACCTGGGTTTTTCTGTTTTTCTTATAATCAGTCCCATAACTTTGCATATAAAATTTCGGGTGTTACAGAGACCTTGGAAGCCCTGCTATAGGTCTATACCATTGCAAATGGAAATTTAAAAGGGCATGCTGCATTCTAGGAGGTAAACTCAAATTGCAAGCTGCAGCCCCTTAGTGGGACATAAAATCAATGCAGTGTGGCCACCAGCATTTTAAATATGTAATAAAAACATCAGAGTATTGAATTTAGTACAGGTAAGTATTTTAATTTTTGTTTCATTTATATGTGCATATACTAGGTCATTGTGTAAAAAATACGTGGTAGGCAGAATTTTGGTCCCCATGACCTTCATTGCCCTGGTGGTGTGCCTGTGGATATGTTACGTTGCATGGCAAAAGGGGTGTTGCAGATGTAATTAAGGTTACTAGTCAGTTGACACAGTAAATTATCCTGGATTGTCCAGGTAGGCCTGTAGTAGTCACATGAACCCTTAAGATTAGAGCTTTCTCCCAGCTGAGGGCAGAAGAGGATGTCATATTCAAAGCATGAAAGAGACTTGATCTGCTGTTGCTGGCTTTGAGCCAAGAAAGTGGGCCGCCTTTAGAAGCTGAAAATGATGATGGCCAGCAAGGAAACAACCTCAATCCCACAACTGCATGGAACTGAATTCTGCCAGTAACATTTATGGTCTTGGAAATGCGTTTTACCTTAGAGCCTCCAGAACAGAGCCAAGGCCAGCTGACACCTTCACATTGGCCTGTGAGACCCTGAGCAGATAGTCCCACAACTGCATGGAACTGAATTCTGCCAGTAACATTTATGGTCTTGGAAATGCGTTTTACCTTAGAGCTTCCAGAACAGAGCCAAGGCCAGCTGACACCTTCACATTGGCCTGTGAGACCCTGAGCAGATAATCCAGCCATAGCACACCAGACTTCTGATCTGCAGAACTGTGATAATGAGTCTTAATGCTGCTAGATTTGTGATAACTTACATTGCAGAAATATATATTTCTTACTGAGGGTCAAGGTAAAAAATAAATTGGAGAATACTGCTGTGGTGGAAAGAATCCTGGTTGGGGTCAGGAGACTTCAGTTCTCATCCTGCTTTTCTCCTCTCCTCAGATAACATGTTAATCACTTACCCTTCCTGGCCTTTCTCTTATCAGTTGAGTGGGTCATTCTAAAGTGTCTAACACATGACATTTTTCTTTTATGAACTACTTTTTTTTTCTCAGCAAAATTCACCCCCTTTAGTGTACACCTCTGAGTTTTGATAAAGCTTATAATCACCACTACAAGGTATAGAATGGTAACATCATCACAAAAATTCCCTCCCTTATGCCACACCTTTGTAGTCAACCTCTTGCACAACCCTAGCCCTGTAAACCACTGACCTATTTATTGTTCCTATAGTTTGGCCTTCTCCAGAATGTCATATAAATTGATTCATGCAGTATGTAGCTTTTTGAGTCTGATTTCTTTAATTTAGCATAATGCATTTGAGATTCATCCATGTTGTATGTATCAGTAGTTTGTTCCTTTTTATTGCTGAGTGGTGTTTCATTGTATGGGATATATGTACCACAATCTGTTTATCCATTCCCCAGATGAAGGACATTTGGGTTGTTTCCAGTTTTTGGTGATTTATGCATAAAGTCATTGTAAACACGTAAATGCCCAACTGTTTTCCAAAGTGGCTGTACAATATTGTACTTACACCAGCAATGTTTGACAATTTCAGTGGTTACTAAGTAATAGTATGCAGTGGCATTTCATTGTGGTTTTAATTTGCATTTATCTGATATGCAAATATTTTCTCTCAGTTCCACAAAATATTATTTTTGATCCTGTAAATAATTCTTAGCTGCACTCAGCAGTGTTGGTGAGACCACTTAAATGAGATACCTATGGCTTCTAGGGACTCCATGCTTTTTTACATTTCAGTAGAAGGCCTGTGGAGGAGCAGGGCTTCATTTGTGGTCAGCAACTTCTGTGCCTCCCTTCTCCTGCTTCAACGTCTATCATGGGCTAATGGGCCAGAAAGGGACCCCACACTTCCAGCATATCTGGCTGGGAGTGCTAGAGTGGAGTTTCCTTGTAGTGTAGATTATTCTTGAGGATGGAGAAAGGCAAGCTGCTGAAATCTGATGCTAACAGTGTGAAGGCTTAATATTCAAAAATAATTAGAGCAAATCATGCCAAAAAGTAGAAAAATTTGAAATTTTCCCTGTTCATTCTTTGTATCTGAACCACGGATCTGACATTCCCCCCTGAAGGCTAAATAGCTCTGAACATCTCAGTGCTTAAAGCATTTTTCTTTATTTTTCCTAATTACTGTTTCAGAATATTCTCTTCCTTGTCTTGGATTTTTTATACTCTAGGGTTTTATATTTCTTCCTTCCCAAAGGAACGTAGTTTCCCTGATCAGAATTATTTTTTAGGTAACTTGGGATCTTCAAGAAACAATGTATGCTAAACTGTGAGTATGCATATTTGATTCAGGATGGTGGAGTGAATATGCCTGTCTCCTTTCTTTAATGTCTCGTTAAGTAAATGAACATTCCCCTCTCCCACCACCACCACCAAGTTTATAAAAATTAGCTAAATATTTTAGCTACTTCAGCAATCAAACAAGGAATAGGGGCACATTGCAGTGCCACAAACTTCAAAAGTGGCGAATAAGGAATGATGTAGAAGATTCTGGAATTGAGAGGAAGTGCATTATGTAGAAAGGCTTGTAACCCCATCTTCCAGAAGTCATAACTGTGAATCACCAAAATCTTGAGAATTCTTACATATATTCAGTCAGGAGAAAATAAACCAAGAGGGTATCTCCTTTACTCTTTTCTGACTGTGAAGAAGTGGAAATGGTTCCTGGGGAGAAATGAGTGAAACAGATGGAAGCAAACTCTTCTCAATGGACATGAGAGCTATAGGCTAAACTATAGGGACAAATCCAAAGCTAAGGAGATTGGAATACAGCCATCAATGAGGTGGAGTGAATGCTAGTACTGTATGTTAAACCTCCAAATGACCCCGCCTTCTCAGCTGAATTCTCCCTTTCTACTCACCATACCTCCAGGCCAGGAAAAGTATATAGAAGAGCCCTCAAGCTGT